CACACACACACACACACACACACACACACACACACACACACACACACACACACACACACACACACACACTCACACACACACACACACACACGCGCGCGCGCGCACACGCAAAAAGACGCAATTGAGCACATAGCTAATTGACGATCGAGGGAGCAAGGTTCACCTCACCCTGCAGGTACTGTATGTGACTCACCAGCTCAGTGTGTAAGAACCGCAACACCGCACCCACATGTGTGAGATTGCCACTGAGAGCTTGTATCTCACAGCACATTGTGCACGTGCCACGATAAGCACCCTTCTCAACTGTTCATACGGTATAGTTTCTGCCCACCTCCGCGGCCCTGGTGATCTCCGCGATCCGGAAGCTCAGAATTAAGAGCCTTCATTGCAGTTTGAAGGGGATAAGTACAAGGTACCGCATCATCAGTCACCAAACAAACCCGGCTCATGCCGCCCGCCAACACACCCGCCCTTCCAGCGTCGTCGTCGCCGCCGCCGAAAGCAGGGCCTACAGCAACCCGCTGGGCGTGCACTCGCTGGTCTGGTGCGGCGAGTGGGACGAGGCGGCGGCAAGAAGGGCGGCGGTGGGGTCGGCGGCGGCTGGATTCAATCTCGTGGAGATCCCCGCGTTTGACGCCGCCAGGTGATGAGATGCGAGGTTGCCAGGCTCATGCCTGCCAGCGTGTGACCCCACCACCCCCGCTGCCTGGGCCAGGACTGGCACCGCTACTTAACTCACGGTTGTGCCGCCCCGGCCCGCAGGCTGGACGGACGGATGACGAGGCGTGTGCTGGAGGAGCACGGGCTCGCGGCCGCGACCAGCCTGGGGCTGACGCTGGACTCTGACATATCCAGCGAAGATAAAGAGGTCAGCTGGCTGGCCGCTTGCTCTTGTTGAAATGACGTCGATGACGACATAGATGACTGCTTGCGGGTCCAGCAAATCGGCCCGCCCGTCGCCCGCTCTGCTTGCCGCGCGCATGGTTTGACCGAGCGTTTGACCGGGCCCCGCTCACGGGGTGCGGGCCGCCGGCGGGGCCCGCGTGCCGCCAGGGATGCTGCGATGCTTGGGGGGTGCCAGGGGTGGGGAGGCGAATGAAATGCGGCGTGAAGCACCCCCGCCGCGGCCGGCTTCGGCGGTAGGTGGTCGCTCGCGGCGTGGCGGCGCTGGAGGACGCCCTGCGTTTCAGCGCGGACGCGGGGGCGCGGCACATGTGCGGCATCCTGTACTCGGCCCTGGCAAAGTGAGGGGGGGCGCCGCTCAAAGGCAGAGCTCGCTGCCGTCTCCCACGCCCCCGCAAGACCGTACAGCCGTCAATTACGCACGTTGCGTCGCGCCGCAGCGGGCGGGCCGAGGGAGAATGCAGAGGTTGCAATCGAACCTCGATCTTGAAGGTGCAGCAACAAAGGTGATCCCAACCCACCGGACGAGTGCGCGCGCCGCGCGGCATATACCACGCGCGCAGGTACCCCGGCCCGCCGACCGCCGCCGGCCGCGCCAACGCCGCCGCCGCGCTGCGTGGCCTGGCGTCCAAGGCGTCAGACCTGGGGGTGGCGCTGTGCCTGGAGGTGGTCAACCGCTACGAGACCAACCTGCTCAACACGGCCGCGCAGGCGGCCGCGTTCGTGGACGAGGTGCGCCGGCTGATTAGGTTGCGCCGGGGCCGGCGGCGGCGGGGGCGGCCGGGGACCTCCCATAGGCGCGGGCCCGGGCGCTAGTTTGTTGGTTTGTCGCAGCGCTCAATCGAAGTGGACGCGACCGTCAGCGAGGCCTCCAAATACGGCGCCCTCGGTCCCGCCTCCGTCCCACTCTTGTGCCGAGCGATGCTGCTCGTGTGGCTCCCTTGTCCCGCTGCTTCTTCTGTTGCCCCCTGATCCTGCCGCTGCTTCGATTGCCCCTCCCTTGATTCTGGCTGACCCCAGGTCGACCACCCCAACGTATTCATCCACCTGGACACGTACCACATGCACATCGAGGAGGTCTCCATGGGCGCGGCGGTACAGGCGGCGGGCAGCAGGCTGCGGTACATTCACATGGGGGAGTCGCACCGCGGCTACCTCGGGACTGGCTCAGTCGACTTCCAAGGTGGGGGACCGGGTGGAGGCGGGGCGGGTCTGTTGTACGAGTGCAGGTGCAATGATGTGTGCTTCTGCGGATTGTGTACATGAGGGCGGGCGGGGTTGTCGCGCGTGAGAGGTGGGCGGGTGCGTGAGCGGCTGGTTGACTGGGATGTGCGCACTAATAGTGAGGGCAGGGCGATAGGCACGCAGTGTGGTGAGTGCACAACGAGCACCCCTGCAGCACTCCGCGCGATGTGTCCCCCTGCAGCAGCGTCCACCGGTATGCCCCTGCTCGCGCGGGACGACTCCAACTGCTGCACCCCCACCCGCAGGGCTGTTTGAGGCCCTGGCGGCCGCGGGCTACGCGGGGCCCATCACCTTTGAGTCCTTTTCCAGCGCCGTCGTCTCGGAGCAGCTCAGCAACACGCTGTGAGCACCGGGACCGGCCGCTGATCGAAACAGCCCTGAACGGCCCGCACGTCCACACGTATGCACTTGCATGACGCGATCTGGACTGGTCAATCAATTCTTCTATCTAGAATTGCTTTTTGATTTTGAAACCACCGCTTTGCAGCGCGCCCTAAGTTCGAGGCACACGTGTCACCAGTGCAGCGCGTGCTCGCTCCATCCTCGACCCAGGTGTGTGTGGCGCGACCTCTGGTCAGACTCCTCAGCCCTGGCCGCCCACGCGCGGGATTTCGTCGATGCCTCCTGGCGCGCGGCGCTGGTGGGCGCCGGCGGCTACCGGGGGGCGGGGCGGCGGGGGGCCCGCGGCAGCTGACCGCCGGCGGAGGTGCGGCGGCGGCGGCGGCGGCGGCGGCAGGAGGGGGCTTGCCATGTGCCTGCCCTCTGTGGTAGTGGTCGGGGTTTTACCCTGCGTATGCATTCGTGGCGCCAGCACTCACAGGCGAAATAGCGTTTAAGGCATTAGTCCGAGCCACTCGATGACAGTATTCACAGCTTTTCTACATGTTGTGATGTGTGTGGACCCTCAACAGCCTCCCATATCAATTCAAAGCCTCCTCCTGCATGACATACCGTCTGTAATACTGTATGAACACAGGTGGAGGCACTGCACGTTCCGTAAGTTAGCACGGTGGCTAGGCGCGCGGGGTTAGCACCACATTTGGGGGTGTGTGGGTGTTCGGCAGGGCGCTTTCGTTGGCTGCAGAAAATCGCTGTTGGCTGCAGAAAACCGCCGCGGCTTTGCTACGTCAAGCGTTCTTGATTCCTTTCCACCGCTGTCAACATCATTTCACCATCGCCCGCGTTGGCCAGTCGGCTATAGCAGCGCGGCCTCCCCTCCACTGAAGGTGGCCGGCCTGTCTGGACCCGGTCATGCTCTTCAGCTGGCAGTGACCCCACGTGTTTCGAATCAACAATTCTAAAATATTCAACAATTCTAAAACGTTATGCAGAGTTTCACCACTGAACAGGTGCCTGCAGCGCACATGTGTGTACATTTGTCTGCAAACGCCACATCCGTGCGTTGCCCGTATGCCCTCCGTGCGCCCGTGCCTGGCGCTTGCTTTGCACCGGTGTGATGTTTGCGACAGCACACATCCACATGGATGTGTGCCCCCACACCAGTCCGTTGCCCAGCCCGGCATGTCATGATTACAAATACCTGCCACAAGGCTTGCTTTTGCTTGTTGCACCATGCTGGAAATTGCTCTTGGCTGTGATCATGCGTTTGGGGCGGCCTGCAGTAAACACCGGTGCTGTACAGCCCTCTTGTGAGGGCAGACCCATTGTTGCTGCCTTGCGCCAAACGCGTCGCGCGCTTGATGCTAGAATTTGTGAGAGCTGTGCGTACAGTCCAAGAGCGGCGCAGACACCAGTGTGTCATGTGCGCAGCACACTCAGTTGTCGTGCCATGATTTGGCACACGCAATGCAGTGAAGTCAGCGGGTTAGGAAAGGTATGTGAGCGAAAGCAAAGCGTTACTAGGTTGACTTTCGCAGCAGACATCCCCTGCTGCTCTCAACGCAGCCCTTGCAACTGTGCGCACAGGCAGACACATGTATCCAGGGACATGCAACCCCCCAAAACACACTCACACACACACATGTGCGCGCGTGGCACACACACACACACACACACACACACACACACACACACACACACACACACAC